ACCCATGTTTGGGCAAAATTCTGGCAACCTTCCTATTGTCTGTCTGGCCCACCCATTCTCAGTGGTAAGCGGGGAAACAAGACTTTTCCTGCATGGACCAAAGGCTGTAAGGATACGATTGACACGGTTGCTATGACATTTTCAAAAACGTGGCATAGAGTGCTCAGAACTTTATCACTATTTTTTGTTTCTTTACGAAAATATAGGATTCTCGAGGTGGAAAGAAACAGAATCCTCAAAATACCTGAGGACACGATTACTCAGCCAGCTCCGGAGGTTACATTAAAGTTCAAGGAACAAAAAAACTCGACTGCCCAGCAAGTTTGCAAGTGCGAGCTATACGGCTGTACACTGATTATACTTTAGAATCTGAAGAGTGCTCGTCAAAGAAAGTTGTACGGAAGGCAAAAGCCGGGATTCTTAGGTAATTAAAAGATGACATGCAGACGGGAAAGCGCTTAAGAACGACAACAAGATTCTATTTCAGGCTTCCCCTTAGTACAGCACACAAAGTACATCCTGTCGGTCAGGTCGCCACAGTAGGTCACTTCATCCATCCGAAAATCGAAAGCAAGATCCGCGAGCCAGTTAGTGGAAATATAACTAGTCCAGATGTGGTACGGAAATGCTTGGAGCAGAAGACCGACAAAGAAATGTTTGGAAGTCATGAAGGTCATCAGAAACCCCGAAAGTCGAACTGAAGATATTTCCCCGTTCGCCAAGATTTGCGAAGTCATGTCGCACGAGCAATCAGCGCCAGCAAATACTGCGGTGATGACCAAGAGTCACTAAAGCGCAAGACTGAGCAATGGAGGTGTGACTCACCATCATCCAAGTTCTACTTCAGGACAAGGGACGAGGTCAAGGATGGCGACGAGACAAAGTTTCTCTTCGCACACTAAGAAGAATGGCAGCAGAGGCTTCTCCTCAGGTATGGCAGTAACTTTGTACTAATGGATGCCACGACTAAGTATGCGATCCCTTTGTTTTTCGTGTGTGTCCACACAAATGTGGGTTATGAGATTGTAGCCAAATTTCACTACCAGAACGAGGACAATGAATGCATCGCGGAAGAACTTAATATCATCAAGAGCTGGAATCCTACGTGAAAACCAAAGTATTTCATGGTAGATTATTCGATGGCGGAAATAAATGCTATAAAAAGCGAATTCCCAGATGTTGAGGTATACATAAGCGACTTTCACCGCGGGAAGGCGTAGCAGAGATGGGTCAAAGCTGGCAGTAATGTACTGACCGAGGGGAACAAAAGATGTTTCTAGAACTGATGCAAGCAATTGCTCGTGCTCGTTCGAAGACGTTCTACAAGAAGGCCGTGGAAAGCCAAAGAAAGTTGTACATGGGAAATCCCAAGTACAAGAATACTGCGAGGTGTGGTTGGACTGTTCCAATCGTTGGGCTCATGCATTTCGTGTTCAACAGGCCGTCAACATCGTGAATATCAACAATGGAATTGAAGCGCGGGATAAATTGTTCAAATACAGCTATTTGCCTGGATCACTCGACAAATTAGTTTTAGGAATAGTGGTGATGATTGTGGAGTCGTTTATCCCTGATTCCTACCAACATTACCTAAACATGACGTGAAACGTGTCAATTTAGAAAAGGGTGAATTTCTCGTCAAAAGCAGTTCGAAAAGTACGAAGCTGTTTGCTGTCAAGCTGTCGTAGCCAAGCTGCAAATGTGAAAGCTGGCGTAAAACGCATTTCCCTTGTAAGCACATTTTAGCTGTTTTCAGCTTCTTTGACAAGTGGAGTTTTAACAACTTACCAAATTCCTACAAAAATAGCGTCTTCATAACTCTGGACACCGGGCATTTTGATCAAGCCGATCCAGACGAAGAACCAACCTTGGAGCCGAGTTCAACGGACGAGGGAAATGACGATTACGGTCAAGTATGCGGTGCAGAAACAACAGTTCCCGCATTATCTTCCAATGAAGATGATGCACCTGCTCAATCCAGTGGCACTTCTTCCTGGCCAAAAATCGACGACAACGAGCAACCTTTAATAACTCAAAAGCTCAGAAAGCGCCTTCAGGAAAAAAAAAAATCGATGAATTGAGATCAGCAACATTCGTGGTCGATGATTCAGCTATCCTTGAGAATACTATCCCGACTGTGGAATCTCTGCCAAAGGATCTTTGTAGAGGTTCCTCTATTGAAAATGGCCTTCCTCTTAGACATAGTCCTGCAAAAAAGAAGCTCAAAGTTACAGAGGTAGACTACCACAAGGTGAAACATGAGACACTTCCCAACACGACACGGCAAGAGAAGGAAGGACAGGGGTGTGGTTGTAGACTTGACAAAGGATGACGGCAATTCCAAAGACAGTGCTGTGGAATTAGAAGAGGTAGGTATAATTCGTTGTTTCCTCAAAAAGATTAAAAGAACTGTTTATGTTAACGTGTAAAATGTTTATCTTGCAAGTTGACTCAATATGTGATATGTCTCTTAATGACGATAATGAACTGGAACTGTGTAATGATGCGGATAACGACACGGATAATGATGAGCTACTTGGCACAATTCACGAGAGTTCTGCTCGTATCTCACCAAGGTATAATTCTATCGAATTTAGTAATACAGAACAGTGATCATAACTTTTCGAATATTTTATCACTTGAGTAAGAACGATTAATCAACCTTTCAGACTATTCTTTTGATCTACTGTTGTGGTGTATAAACAGGCCTTATCAGCTAGGAGAGTCAGAAATACAGTTGTGTGACGCAGTGACGAGAGTTAAGACCTTGCAAGTCAACACTGGTATACGCAATTCAGTACTGAAAGTAGGGCCATTCAAAGTAACCGTTTCTGACTTGCTAGCCACTCTTCCTCCTAGCACTTTGTTTGCAAAAGGAACACAGAAAATTAAAGGAGATCCCTAGTTTTGTGGATGGTGGTTAACTGATACGGTAAGCAGCACTGTTTTCCAGTAACTATTTGAAATATTAATTTTGTGTATCTTCAATTGTTATATTCGTTGTGTTTCTCTTTGTAGATCGTTGATGCTACACTGTGGAAACTAACAAAACTACACCAAAAAATCTTTGCTTCTGACAGTAGCCTTTGTCAGTTGGTGAATCATGGGGCAAGTACACGTAGATTGTGGATGGGCGAGAAGTTCCATGGAATTGAAAAAATTCTTAATCCAATGAATATCACTGGACGTCAGTGGACATTGCTGGTAAGTCGAAGATACTATTCATACTGTACATTTTTTTTAATAAAATGGTCATCTCTAAAATTTGTATTATATTCTTTAGATGAATTGAATATTGTACACATGCCTCAGGACTTCGTTTTGACGACATAAAATAAATGTGTTCAAAGATTTTAGATAACAAGGAATCTACCTGTGTCTATATTGATCCTATTCATGGAAACAAACATCCACATGAAATAACAGCAGCTTCCAATCCCAGCCTGTACAGACTTATAAATAACATAGGGTGAGTTTCTGTATTCCCAGCACGACCCTGTGTTTCATTGTTTTTTATGATTTTTCAGCTTTATATATGAGTGATTTTGTGACTTCATATAACATAAACTTAATTGAACCCAACTTAATTGATTCAATCAATCGCCAGGAATTCGTAGTAAGATAATGTTCATAACTCATTTTTGTAGCTATAGCCAGTAGTACTGATGAAAATGGTTGCAATCTTTTTGTAGTGAAGCTGCTGACATCAAAATAGGCTGGAAAGTAAAGAGTGGACATGCCTTGAGCCACCCCATTTTCAGCAAACTAATGGATTCAACTGTGGAGTACGTTTTTGTGAGGTAACCTCTAGAGTACTAAAAAGCATTAGATAAGTGAGCTCATCAGTACCAATACCATCAACATCTTTAAAATTAAACAGTTAAAATAAAATGATGTCATTCCATAGCAGTTTTTAAAGAAACATAATCAGAATATTTACATTTTTACATCAACCAATCTTACATCATATATAATATCACTGCAAGATCTATCTTTAGTTTGCCAGGAACTTGTGTGATAACAGGCCGATCACAAAGGTCAATGTTTCTATTGAGAGAATGAAGTTTCTATCCAACCTGTTGGGGAGCTGTTATGATGACATTTTGAGGTACAATAATTATGCCTTTCTTATTATAAGAATCACCACTGTGTATTGTGTTTAATCCCAAATAACAAATTGAGAACTAAGCAATTATTTCGCACTTTTACTTCACTTTTTGGCAGTGGAAGGGATGTTCTTGTTTGCAAGGTGTGTCAGATGGATGACAATGAAGACTGGCTTGGCTGCAAAAGATGTGGACAGTTTTTCCATGCTAGTTGTGTGGGAGTGAACTTTGTCACGGCATTGCAAGATCCTTTTTTTTTATTGTCCATGATCACACACTTAAAAACACACAAATAGCAACATATTTAGGAGTCTTCTTTTCATTTTTTAAAGTATGTGATGGAGTTGTGGCTCAGCTTGTTCAAATTTACATTCGAGGAAAAAAAAATTGTTAGAAAGTGTATTTTCTAAAATAAGCTATATAATTTAAAGCATATTTTTCCAAAGAATATGTGGTAAAAGGGCCTAAGAGGTGTACTGTTAACAGACAAATCATTTAAGTCAGTCAAAATTTGACCGACTGAATGTGACCAGTAGTACTTCTTTGTTACAGTCACAGCAAATGTTCCTTGATTTAGGCACTCATTTGCTGAGAAACTCATGAAATAGATAGGTCATGTTCATTAAACATCTCTTTGGACAAGAACCGTGGAACCAACAATTTCAGAAACTGTAATCGTAAAGAAAGCAAGAGAGAACCAAAAGGGACACAAACAAGCAAAAGACAAAACAAGAAGCAGGTGATAAAATGCCCTTTTTTACACTGTACATTCCAATCTGATTGATAAACCATTTACCAACCATTTACAAGACAAATGGCCGAAGCATTAGCCTGTAAAGGTCGAGTTCTAAATATTTCATATCCTTGTACTGGTAACAAAAAATGAAAAAAAACCACTGCACTTCAAGCATTACACGTTTGACACTTGTTTGTGTATAAACACTTTCTTTCCCGATTTCAAAAGCAATTCCCAGTATCTAAGAGTTATATGGTGGGTAACAGGGGGGTGGGAGGTGTACTGGAGGCGAGAGGGGCAGGAACCGGGTAAAATATTTAGCAAAATTGCATAAACTTTTGCAATGAAAATAAAACATAGAGCTGAGAGCCATCAAATAAGGGCATGGGAATCGGGATGGTCAGACCCCTCTATCCCCCACCCCTCCCTGCAGTAATTTGAAATCCAAGTTTTCCCAGATCATACGATCACACTTGAGCCCCCCTCCACCAACTCAAACTGTTATTGTGAAGGACCTGCTCTACACCATGACTAATTCGAAGCTGACGTCACACACCCTCTCCGGGTGAAAAAAATATGTATATGCATTAGAAATAACAAGTTATCACTCTGTTTCGATCCAAACATCTTGTGATGGCAAGAGAAACATTCTAAAAACATTCACTGGAATTCGCAGAGTAATGTTTTATTGATTCGCTACAACCAAATGAACTCTTCCAGTAAGCTCTTTCTTACCCCGCGAAAATCGTCTTTTCGCGGGAAAAAGTCAAAAACGTGAATATGAATTTCATATATTCACAGCCGTTTAAAAAGTCAAAAACTTTCTCAGTTGACAATTGTCTTTGAAGTCAAGCTTTGTCTTCATTCTCAATCTCTAGATCTCTAATTATTACCTGCGAATTGCACACCGCTTATTCCACTGTCCACTTCAGAAACCATCATCCATTGTGGCTGTTTCATTGAATAATTTTTATAGCTCTCTCTCTCTCTCTCTCTCTCTCTCTCTCTCTCTCTCTCTCTAAAAGTTTCAGAAAGGTTTGAGTCTGCAGCCACTTGAAAACAGACCCAGTGGAGTTTTCCCGACTGCTCATATTTTATAACTTCGTGCCTTTGTTTCTCACCGGTCTCTCGTGAAGTAGTCATGACCACGTGTAGATTTCAACGGTTATCTTGCGAATATATCTGAAATCTGAAACACTCCTTCTTTCGATCTTCGTCAAACGAACCCGCTAATAGATGATGCCCACGACAAGAACCTGTAATCCGTCAACTGATGTATCCCTAACATCATTTCTGTATTTAAAGTGTCCTGCGACACTGAACACTGAGAATATTTTACGACCATTTAGTTCTTACTGAACGAACACACTGCCAACATAGAGAGCGTCCATGGTGACCAATCGCAAAGCTTGCTGTCAAAACATGACCAATCACAGAAACGTAAACAAGGCTTTTTAAAGACCAAGAAATATTGTACCAAATGACATGAATGGGAAGGTTGTAAATCGTGCAACTATTCAACCCTTCAAAGATCGAGAGCTGAAAACACCATGTAACCATAATAGTTATATTTTTCGGCATCGTCGGATTACAGAGCGACACTAATTTCCGCTTTGTATCAAGTGGATTAAATTACGAGCATTAACCGTGAAAGAGGAGAATCATCCATCCCTTCATATACTTCAGACACAGCTTTGATATAAAGCATAATGCAAACGACTATTAAGAATAATTACTTTGAAAGACGCAGTAATTAAACTAGTCGTAAGTTGCTTTTAGCAGACATAAAAACAAAATGGTCGTCACAATTAATCTACACAGAAAGTATCGTAATTCTTCACGATTCCCCGATCTTCTTTCAATGGTTGATTCGGAATAAAATTGTACTTAACCTACTTCGCACAGGGCTTGTTCGAGTACTTCCCTTTTTTTCGTGTAATACATATAATACCAAAGATTTGATTATTTTAGTATTCAATAAGAGAGAGCGAGAAACAGAAAAGTAAGCTTAACTGAAATTGAAAAAATATGCTACCAAGCAGAAGGCAAAGTCGAAACGTTCCTACGTGTGCTCAGTTGTGTCTGCTGAGACCACGTCTACCGTATGGAAAAATGAGATGTAATGGGAATCATAGCCACCTGAGATAGCTTGAATTCGCCTAGCGTCGATTCAAGCTCCGTTACCATCAGTCATCGGTCTCCAAGCGATGTCACGCAACGTTGCGTGATATCAGTAAGCGTAGATGAGACACTCAATCCACCCTGCATTTAAGTCTTAAACAACGGGTTTCATTGTGCGCATATTTTCTAGTTAAAAAAACACAGACATTACACTATGACTGTAAACCACCTATTAAGTATCGATTAAATTTCTCGCCCCATGAAAGCGAGTAGTATTCACATTTTGTTTACCAGTGTTGTGGCTTGTGATAAGATCATTCATTGTCACGTATTCACATTTTTTTTGTATCTGACCGGATAAATCCAGGAAGAGATAGGAAGTTCAAAGTTGAGGAATACCTGAAATGTCATATTAGAAAGTTTTAGCCAGTGAAGCTACTATATTTATGATTAACTAAAATAGTAATAAAGGTAGTGTAGAATAACACCACAATCCAGCCAGGGCCATGGTGTAGAAGTAGCCTGCTTCCTTGATGAAGACAATTGAATTACATAGGCTATAGGCTAGGTGGAAGTGGTCAGCAAGTATACACACCGGTGGCCTGATCGAGAAATTTGCACTTGATACGCAACGTCATTCAAACACTATTTAATAGATTTTGTTTATTGTTAATTTAATTCAAAATTGAAGGTAAATGATGTGAGGAAAAAAACAAAACAAAACAAACGAACAAAAACCAATGAAAATATCTAAATGCTTGGTTTGATGCCACATTCTTTTCAGCAGCAAGTAGTGGTTCTGCAATTTAAAAGAAGTAGTAACAGCCTTTATGCTTAAAAAGTAGTTTTAATTTTTCCCTGTATCTTTCTTTTTGAGTAAATAAAATTTTAATACCCACTGTAGTCATTCGCTGAGGTTTTGATTGAGGACCGAATTGATGAGTCCACACCTACTACAACTACTAATTTGAATTGACTTCCAGTTCAGCTTACTTAAACCACCAGAAGTAAAAAAAAAAACTTAGAGTGATTCAGCCTACTGAAGATTTGACAAATAGACGTCAGGATACTATTATGCTGCCGTGAGAGGGATTTTCTCCCCCACCCCCCTCTCGGAATTAACATGACATAGGTCGGAAAATTGCATCATGTAATCACTCTCTATTGTCTACAATTTTCTTCCGATGTATTCTAGGAAATATGGCTACAAATCCAATAATTTAGTAATGCTTGCCTATTTTTTCGTCCTCTTTGTTTTGGCTCGTCCTTCTCCCGCTCTTCCACCCGCTTCTCTCTTTCTGCTTACAGTGATCTGTTTGTAAAGTAGCAGAGGGTAATGATTACAACCTGTTAATGTTCACATCATTTTTAAGAAAAACATTCGTTATTGTTAAAGCCACAATTCTGTTATCTGCATCTCAGATGTATAATATGTGTCCGTAAGAGTCAAGACCAACATGGCACAGGTTACTATATAGATTAATTCGATATTTAAATTTGATTTAATCTGTTATTTTATAGTATCTTTGTGCGGCCCGTGCTGGCTAATAATCCGGCAACATACTGTTGCACACAAGAGGTACCCTGGGTGTTTATTCTTTCTTATCGTCGAGCGGTTATAGTTACCTCGACTTCTCTTTATTCTCTCGATACGAGTCTACTCAACTCCACAGAAGAGGTAGACTGCGCTGTGGCAACTTGGTTAACAGTATTTTCCAGGGCATCCACGTCCCATTTTTTAGCCCTGTGTGGCTGCTCATGGCGATTCCTCAGCCTCGTTATGAACTCTCTCTACCATACTATTTCTGAGTCTTGCAATTTCATGGCGTATTTTGGGAGGTCCATTTCAAGCTTGTCAAGATACATGCCATCGAGACTGTTCGGTTTGACAAGCTTGGGACCTCCTCTTAATATGGGCGAGATGAGATGTATCCCGCCATCAGGCCGCCAGACAGGTGAGGTGGACCACTTCTAGTAAAACAGCTTGGAGTTACCGTTGTCGTTTTGAATTTTGAATTTTGAAAACAGCTTGGTGGATGTGGCCTGATATTTAATTCATGGAGTTCTCCATCCACGCTTTGACCTCGAACACGAATGACAATTCCTCTACTAATACAGAAGGGGTGTATGATACTTTAATCTGGTCCTTCAATGCCTCAAACGTATGGGCATCGTTCTTGGCAAGTCTTCTTGCTACAAATGAAAACATCTGATCGATGTTTTCATGTGTATGACCAACCACTAAGAAAGATATTTTGATCTATCAAAGAGTAAAACATGTGATTTAGTTTGTTAACCCCTGTTCTGAATGAATCATAGTCAATCATGGGTTGCTGTCATTTCAATTACTAAGAGTAATATCGCCTGCAAAAAATGAAACAAAATAGTGAGCCAACTAAAGTTAAAGAGATCATCGGTCAGTAAACCATTACTTAAAGGTGGTGACGAACGTCTTTAGGAAAAGAGGAATATTTGATCCTCGTTGAACTTATTTTCAAAATTTGTATTAGGTTAAAAATGATATTAGGCTGTGACTCATCTCTATCTACAGCTGAAATTATTTTTGAGAGATAAGACGATTTTGCCTGATTTGATAACTCACCTTCTCAAAAATTTTCCTCTCGACCAATAAACTCAGAAAACTTAAGACATAACGATTTTTGTTCTCCCTCCAACAGTTGTCCATCTGGAGGTACAGGACAGGTGGTAGATACCCTTGGTAAAAGAGTACCGAAAAAATGAATTAAAAATGATCAACAAGAAGGTAGCGAGCGAAACACTGCGACGCATTGCCTTTGAAACTATAATAGTTTTAAACTTTTCTTCAATGTAATGCATTTTAATTTTGTCAACATTATAGAAGTCATTCAATTTTGAATGACGTCTTTAATTCATCATCCAATTTGCAGTGACCCTCTTCAGTAATATATCGCTGATAACGTCCAAATGCGGTAAAAAGTCAATGTGGCGCACGCAGTGCAGCCGAGTGTGTTATGTCTTTACCACATGGTGACGTCCTCTGTAATTCATTACGAAA